AATTAACATCTAAGCATTTCATAAATTTAAAACAAAACAAGTAACCAAACGATTACAACGAACTTCATAAATTCAATGAAAATTAAAAGGAGAAAATGATGAACTCATCTATTTAGTAGTTAAGCTTTTTGCCGTAGCGAGGCGCTAAAATCTTCACGACGCGAGTGTTGCCATTTTTTTGCACACTGTTTAAAAAAAACACATCGTCTTCTTATATGCTCATGAAAAGCATTAGAAAAGAAACCAAGTATTTCTCTATGCATAATGGAAAAACATCATTAGCTTCAAAAATTATTTCAAGCTGAAAAAAGTCAAGCCTGGCTCCCATTCCAAAAACCAGGCTTCAATGCTTAAGACCCACCAGACAGAGAATAAGGAAAGAAAGCAGATTTCAAGAAAAGAAAAGAGTAAATTGCTAACGAAAGATGGAAAATAAAATAACGATGGGGAAAAAGAACACGGTATCCAAGGAAAACGATGGTGATTTATTTCGTTTCCTTCTGATAACTATTTTTCAGAAAAACAAATAATAGTTAATAATATTTTAAGATAGAGGATTTTAACATTATGTAAAATTATTCTCATATTTAATGGTTTACAATGATTAATTGTCGAGATTAATGATTTAAAAGTACTATGAATTGGTAATGATACTGATTTAAATTTAATAAACTGGGTACAATTAAAATGGGTCACGGCTATCACCTGATGACATTTAACTATTTCTGTGGTTTTTATATTCTAAAAATAAATATTGCTGCTGACGGAGTCTATTCTAAAGACGGAGTCTATTTTCAAGATGGAGTCTATTCCTTGCGGTTGATGGACATACTATGTTAGGATAAAAAATATGTATATTATTTTATAATTTTGTAAAGTTTTCCAAAAAAAATAACTATTTAGCTTATATTTTTTAGTGGATACAAGGTTAAATTTGACTTTTTAATGGTTATAATACTTAAAAATTATTATTAAAAAATTGGTTTGTTTAGCACGTTTAATGGAGATACTATGTTAAGAAAAAAATGATATTGCTATAAAGATTGATCAAATAAATGTTATTATTGGAAATGGAGTATAATCAGTCCGTTTGATGGACTCACTGTGTTATGGAGAAAAACATTCTATTTTATAATTTGATCATCTCTCTATTTTAAAAATTGCAAAGGCTGTAGCCGCTGTTTATGTTTCGAGAGTTCAACTTAACATTATATTTTGATATTTTGCGCAAAAACTAAGATTCAGAAACTTGAAATTACAAAGAAGTGTAAAAAATGTACAGGAAGTACAGTGGAATACAATACTTAAAATCGAGAATTATTGCCTGCTAAACGGCAAAAAAAAAGAATTAAAAAAAAACACTATACGGGTCACACTACAGGCCGCAGGAATGAAGTTAAAATTTGGCATACTGAAAAGGCCATATTTATTCAGGAATTTAAGACTGAATTTTTTTTCCAAAATTGTATGAAATTTCTAATTTGTATGAAGAGTTATTTCAAATTTAAATGCTCTTTTTCAAATTTTTTATCACTATTTCTAAATGAAATGAAAAATAAATTTGAGATTCGATAATTAGTTCGAGAATCATTAACTGTTAAACTTATGGGAAAAAGCCTGGCCCCAATCTAGGTTGCAGAAATGCAACTTCAGAGTTAAAATTTGTTAGGAAAAAAAAAATACAAAAAAAAACAACAAAAAAATTCTAAAAAACAAACAACTCTTACAAAAAAAAATTCTAAATTCTATATTGTTCGAAAGTCATTGGAATTTTAAGTGCTCTTTTGCGAATTTTCCATCAATATTTTAAAATAAGATTAAAAAAAATTTACGATTCGACAATTAGTTCGAGAATTATTAACTGTTAAACTTGTAGGGAAAAACATCTTACGAACCGCTCTCTAAGCTGCAAGAATGCAATTTCTAGTTTGAAATTTGATACGCTGAAGGGCCATGTTTATTTAGGAATTTGAGACGGAATGTTTCTTTTTTTCTTATCGAATTTGTCCGAAAGTTATTGCAATTTTAATTGCTCTTTTGCTAATATTTTACCAATATTTTAAAATGAAATTAAAAAAAATAAAATTCGACAATTAGTTTGAGAGTTATTAACTGTTAAACTTGTAGGAAAAAGCATACAAACCGCAGGAATGCAATTTCTGATTTGAAATTTGATACACAGAAAGAGTATGCTTATTTAGGAATTTAAGATATATTGTTTTGTTCTTTTAAATTCCATATTGTTCGAAAATTATTGCAATTTTAAGTGCTCTATTGCGAATTTTTTATCGATATTTTAAAATGAGATTAAAAAAAATTAAGATTCGACAGTTAGTTCGAGAATTATTAACTGTTAAAATTGTGGGGAAAAACATCATACAAATCACTCTCTAAGCCGCAAGAAGGCAATTTCTGGGTCAAAAATTTGTATTCTGAAAGGGCATGTTTATTTGTGAATTTAAAACACATTTTTTCTTACTTAATTGTAATTTGTTCGAAAGTTATTGCAATTTTAGGTAATCTTTTGTAAATCTTTGATCAATATTTTAAAATGGAATTTTGAAGAAATTGAGATTCGGAAATTTGCAAGTATTAGCAATTGCACGTATTATGAAAAAAAAAATCTTATAACCTCAAAGCTATTTTTTCGTATAGCTAAAATTTTATTTCATTCAATTAAGTAGATAAATTTTCCGCAAAATACAAAAGAATGAAACATAAAAAATATGCAGAAAATATGGAATACAGAAAAAAAAATTTGATATACATACCATTGTATCATTAGAAAATTTATAATAAAATTTAAACATGTCATTTAAATGTATCAATTTAAACAAAATGAACAAAACTCACAGTTAATTTAGAAACGGAAACAATTACCGGTATCAAAAGTTCCATTTTTTGTTTAAAATAAAGCTAAAAAGAAGGAAGGAAAGCTAGACGCAGACAAAATAGAAAACGGATTAAATAAGATACCGAAACTTTTCAAACAAGAGTATCCCTATCAGCAATATTCAATTCCTATTTAGGAACAAAACAATCCCTGCCACCGAAAATCCTACCTTTTATTCAAAATAAAACTAAAAAAAGATGGAGGGAAAGTTAGATACTGAAAAAAAAAACAGAATCAAATAAGCTAATCAAGTAAGACATAGAAAGCGTATGCCAACTCACAAATCTTTAAAAAAAAATTGGAAAAAATGAACATTTCAAACAAGAGTACCCATTTCAGAAAAATTTAATTTCTATTTAAGACTGTAAGCAATCACTGGCAACAAAACTCTCACAACTCAATTCAATTAAAACCTAAAAAGGTGACGTAGGAAATGCTAGCCAAAGTCAGAACATAGAAATGAATAAAATATAAAGAATACATCGAAAGTATAGAATATAGAAAAAATAGTGATACATACAATTGAATCATTAGAAAATATCAATTAAAAATTGAATATTTCATTTAAGTATACCAATTCGAACAAAAGTCAAAGTTAATTTAAAAACTGAAATAATAACCAGCACCGAAAATTCTACTTTTCATTCAAATAAAATTAAAAAGAAAATTGAGGGAATGTTAGACATCAACAAAATGAAAGGCAGATGAAATAAAATATCGAATAACATATGCCGACTCACGAATTTTAAATGTTAAAAAATGAGTATTTCAAACAAGAGTACACATTTAAGCAAAACTCAATTTTTATTTAGGAACAAAAATTAATATCGGGAAGAAAGATCAAACAACTCTATTCAAATAAAATCTGAAAAGATGAAAAAAGAGATGCTAGCCACAACCAGAACATAGAAATGAATAAAATATAAAAAATATATAGAAAATATGGAATGTAGAAAAAATTTTGATATACATACCATTGAATCATCAGAAAATATAAATCAAAAATTGAATGTTTCTTTTATGTACGAACTGTCTAAAGTTTAAAAAAAACTAAACTAAAGTTTAAAAAAAAGTCAAAATTTAGAAACGAAAACAATCACCGGCACCGAAAATCGTACTTTTAATTCAAATAAAATTAAGAAGAAAAAGGAGGGAATGTTAGACACTAACAAAATAAAAGACAAATTAAGTAAAATATCGAATAACATATGCCGACTCACGAATTTTACATATTATCATTCAAACATGAGTATCAAATTCAGCAACATTGAATTTTTATTTAGGAACCTAAGCAATCCTCGTCACCAAAGATCAAACAACTGAATTAAAAAAAAAATCTGAAAAGATGAAATAGGAATTGCTAGCCACAACTAGAACATAAAAATGATTGAAATATAAAAAATATATCTAAAATATAGAATATAGAAAAAATGTTGAGACACACATCATTGAATCATTAAGAAATATCAATTAAAAATTGAATATTTAAGTTTACCCTTTTGAACTAAAGTCACAGTTAATTTAGAAACGAAAACAAAAAATATATCTAAAATATAGAATATAGAAAAAAAATTTGATATACATATCATTGAATCATTAAGAAATATCAATTAAAAATTGAATATTTAAGTTTACCCTTTTGAACTAAAGTCACAGTTAATTTAGAAACGAAAACAAAAAATATATCTAAAATATAGAATATAGAAAAAGAAATTTGATATACATATCATTGAATCATTAAGAAATATCAATAGAAAATTGAATATTTAAGTTTACCCTTTTGAACTAAAGTCACAGTTAATTTAGAAACGAAAACAATCACCAGCACCAAAAATCCTACTTTTTCTTTTAGTAAAACTGAAAAGAAGGAGAGAAAGTTGGACTCCGGCAGAATCGATAGAATAATATATCAAAAACCGTTGCCAACTCTGGAGTTTTATATTTAAAAAAAAATTAATTAAAATTTGATACAAAATACTCATTTCAGCAAAACTTAATTTCTATTTAGGAACCTAAACAATAGCCGGCACCAAAATCCCAATTCAAATAAAAGCGGGAATGATGAAGTCGAGAGATGAAGAAGACAGAGGGCGTTTGAGGATGAGGAATGGAGTAAAGACTCGGTCAGGTTCATTACTGCGTAGGAACTCCACCGATCCGCCAGTCATCGAAAGTAGTTAGGAAACTTGCCTCAAAGTCACTTCTCACAACAACTCCGGTGGCACTCTACACGAGGATGCATCGCCACCATACAACAATCTGGATAAGCGGCGATGCAGTGTAGCTTTCCCCTTCTCTGCTGCTGGTGGTGCCTGCTGCTACTCACCGCTCATTCAGAAGCCCGGTCGGCCCCTTGCCCCCTCATAGGGGCCAAAGACGTATCCACTAAGGCCTACCTTAGCCCACTCGTCTTTCATGGTCGATTGCTCGCATTGGACCGAAGAGGTCCCGCTATCTTGCAAGCTACATTTAGAGTCGATAAAGTGTTTAAAGGCGGGCCACTTAAATCTGGTGCGACAGCCCCGGTGGAGTTTGCTATCCGGTTCAGCCCCTCGAGGTGCAGGGGTGCACCTTACCAGGAAGGGGAGCTGCAGCTTGCGGAACGTTATGTTGTGTTCGCGGCTTGGAGGCGCCCCCGCAGAATGATTGCCGTGGCTCGACCAGAGCCTTATTCAAAGAGGAAAGCAGTAGCTAAAGTGCTATGTCCGAACTGTGGTGAGTGGATAGTTATTTTCACATTGGACACGCAGTGCTATACATTTATTAAAAAATGAATTGTTCGTGTTATAACTAAGTTGTATCAATACGTATATTTTTTTCAGATAGGTGAATAATAATATTTCTGCTCCTTAAAAATATTACACTGAGAAAAAAAATTATGGTCAAAGCTACCAGAAAATGGTAAAACTAACAGTGTTTTTGGCTCTATGGGAACATCAAACCACTTGGTAAATTTTACCGAACCACTTCAGTAAAGATTTTAGTAAAATTAACAATGAAATTTTGTTTTTTTAATATGTGATAAAATTTGATAAAAGTATTAAAAAATTTGGTAATTTTATCATGATACTCAAGAGAATGGCATAAAAACCATTTTTTTGGTTAAATTTACTTTCCAGTTTTTTTAGTTAATATCGATTAATAGAAACTATAATTGTGTAAGCCAAAATTTAAGTAAATGTTACCTTATGAACAGAAAAATTATCAAACTAATGGCTTAAGTACTGCATATTTTGCTTTTATTAACCAGAACTATGATTTTTTCCCCAGAAGAGTCATTACCATACAGTAAGTTAATTTTACCAGATTTTTTTTTCGCCGTGTATAAATTATTGGTTAGAGTCTTATTTATGTGGATAACAATTTATATAAAATGCACTCCCAAATATTGTTATCTTCTGATAGCTATTTAGTTGCTTATCTATAGTTTATTTGGTTTATAGAGTACGCATCCCGTACGCAGCTTATTGCCCTTTAAAATATTTTATTTTATTGCTCATTATCAATATTCCCTCACAGATGTTAACCTCAGAAGAATTATATTTCCGGAAATTAATTTTTATTCACTAATTAATATTTTTTATTAATTTTTATTTCATTTCATTCACTAAAATGTGTATTATTAAAATTAGATACTGAATTTTGACTTTTGAAGTTGTAAGCATTTCAAAAATTTCTAGAAAGTTTAAAATTTGTTCTTAGTCTTAAAACTATTTAACTTTACGTACCATTAATTTGAACATACCATTAAGACCTAGCTAAAGCCTATAGTAGAAAAGCAACATATCATTTAGATCAATCTCAAATTCACAAGGTGGTGTAAAATACCATTAAAACTTAGCTAAGTTTAATAGAACACTGTATTTTAATGAATAAATTGAAACAAAAACTGTTCAAAAATATAAATGTAGTAATTGAAAATATAACGAAATTCCATACACACAATTCATTGTAAATTGACATGGCCCACTATACACAATATGTAGATTGTTTAAATTTTAAAATGGTCAAAAGTGGTTGATTTCTAAATCTGTCTAAAAATATTATAACTTTCTTGAAATATTTATCTACTATATGATTACTATTTATGATAATTACTACTAATATTTGTGAAAAAATTATTCATGGTAGTTATTATATTAACTTGAAATAACAAACGCATTTAAAAGTCCGGAATAAACCCTACTCCACAAGTAATTAGTATATTATTAAAACAACTCTAAACTTTTTCGGAATCGTCTCTGTCTTTATGTCGTAAATAAATAATTAAATAGAGTAACTAATAAAGTATTTAAAACTTTGATAAATTATTCTGTTAATTTCAGATTGTGCACATAGCGTGTCGATGTAGTTAAAAGATTCATAGAAAGTATTACTATATTGCAAATGCTATATTGCTCCTCAAAAAGCATGAAATGAATATTTTAAATTTTATTAGATGTATTAGTTTGCTGTTTTCTTTATCAAATTAATTATAATCAAATTTTCAAGTTAAATTTGAATCTTTTCTTATCAATGATTTTTTTTATCGGGTTTTAAACAAAATCATATTAAAAAATACGTGACATTCTTACATTTTATTTAATTTTTATTTACTAGTATTATTTTATAACAAGCATACTTTTTAAATACCAAATGAATTCAAAATTAAATATATAATTTCTCAAACATTGGCAAATGAAGATAGACACCACTCAATAATTTTTTTTTCTTATGTATTTATTTTTTTAAACTTTAATACAAATCAGTTTCTTGTTATTATATTTTACAATATCCTTTTTAGTCTAATGAATGATTTTATATATATATATATATATATATATATGAGTACTGCTGCATATTTNTATATATATATAGATCTTGTATCAGACTGGAAGAACACATGTTAAAATTAAATTATAAAATCCCTGATTTCTTAATTTTATATTGAATTACCTTACATTATTATATTATCTGCTTGTCTACTTTATATTGAAACATGAATTGTGAAATGAGAAACTATACTCTTAAGCAAATGCAAATCTATTTTCACAGGCTATAATAATCAAAGCATTCCGATTACTATTGAAAAGTTTTCCTCTGATTACAAGGAATTATATCAATCCACGAAATAATTATGAAACTTACGGTTCCTTTTTCCTTAATTTAATAAATTATTTCGCATCATTCGTTACTTTGCTAGAAATATTCAAATCTATCTATACATTCTGCTCTAAAATCTCAATCCAAAAAAAAAATTTATTTTTTTAAAATTTATGTTACAAAATGATTTAATAAATTTTTATTTCCTGAATATTTTAAGTCAGCTGCTTTTTCGGTTTTTACTCTTTCGTCAAACAAACATTTGATTGACTTATACTGAAATTAAAAAAAAATAAAACCGGATTTTAAAACTAACTTTGATAATCATTATATTAAAACATTCTTGTCTTTAATTTAATATAATTAAGTCTAAAATAAGTCAATTGACATCTAATTATGGATATTATTCGAAGATTTTAAATCATATGAACTGACAGAGAGAAGGCATATTTAAGGGTTAAAGTACAGGTCAATGACTCCCGGCAGAAATGTTGATGATTTCTTTTACTGTTAAGATTATATAAAAAAATTTCCTTCTGTTTAAAACATATGTATTTTAAGCGTTTCACAATTTAGTTGTCTTAATTTTTGCATTTTTATGCAATATACTGAGAAAAACTAGCTTTCGGTAATTTTTTATTGCTCAACCTAATGTTCAAATTGTTTTATAATTATTCTGTTACAAATGTTATTAATATGAAATTAATGAAGATTTGCACTTTTTTATGATTCTTCTTATTCATGCTTTTTTTAAAAAAATTTAATATGCAATATGTTCACATACAGTAAATTTCCCATACAGTAAATTTCACATACAGTAAATTTCACAAACAGTATGTATGATGAAGATTGTGTTTGTGGAACAATGTTGAATATATCTTTATTTTCATGGAGTGTTGGAATTTCTCCTAATCAGAATTTAACTTAATGCACTGTCCCATATTCAAATAAAACAGCCAAATAGCCATAAATAAGAAGGTATTCAAACTGTTAACGGCAAGAAAAACGGTTTATTAACTGCTTTCACTTAATACGGTAAAGAAACCAGAATTTTATTGCACCAACTAGGCCCACCTAAAAAAGCCCCTTATTTCCTTGCTGTTGGGTACACATACAGATAGGGCTAATCTGTCAATCTCATGATCATCACAACGGGGTTCGAGTCTCATCGTTTGACACCACAATATTAACTAACTCGCTACAACTCAACTCGAATGTCCATTACCTAACGAAAGGCTTAGCTCCAATGTCCAGTTACATTTTTGTACGGCTAGTTGCTAGTTGTAAATTATTAAACAAGTATATAGTGTTGTATTCATTGTTTTTGAACCATACAAGTTGTAAACGGTTTCGAAACCGTAAAAGTAAAAAAATGTTCTTTACCGTAAACTTTACGGCTAATTGGATGGACAGACAGATGCTGGTTACTTTACCGCAATTTTAGAAGGAAAATTTTAATACTGAGTAGTTGATTCCTTTCCTTAATAAAATAACTTTATTTTCCTTTTTCCGAATTCTTTTTCCTATTTTCTTTTGACAAATTTTTAACAAAAAATATTCTTTTGGAGATTGTTCTAAAAAGGTATCTTGAACTCTAAAGGAATGAATTTTTTTTTTAAATTATTCATATGAATTTATTTTCTATTCGTATCGTGCATGTCTTTTGAAGTGTTTATATTTTTTTATGTATTTATTTATTTTAGTAAAGAAAGTAATTTTTCGCAATGTTCGGAAGAAATTTGCTTGTTTTATTTTTTCTTATTAATTAATTAGCAATCAGAAAATATTTAATCTATTCACATTATGCTCACAATAAATATCCACGGTAAAATCATAACATCACGTCACTCATTTCTGGTAAAAAGTAAACTCTACACTTCATTAACTCAATGTTTTGGGGTAATGGAGGGCACTTGGGTCTATTTCCCATTGGCCTCTGAAATGCCAGAACTACTACTCTCTTCTCGTTACCCAGAGAGCACCCATGGCCAAGTCACGACTGTGGAGCAGCGTCGCCCACGTCACACAACCACAAACCCGTTTATAGGGAGGGTCACATTCACACAATCACACAGAAGAAAGGACGTAGAACACCGAGAGAGAGAAAGAAACATCCATGCCCTGAACGGGATTCGAACCCGCAACCATCGGCTCCGCAGTCAGGCACGCTGACCACTCGGCCACCTGGTTGCCTTAAACCAATGTTAAATTTGTTAAACTATAATATCTTCCAAATTTACAGCTATCTTAATATCGTGGTAAATAAAACCATATAGTACATCTATAAACATTCTTTTACGATACTATAGTTCAACTTCATTGGAAACATGGTTTAATTAAACATCTTATTTTAAAGTTGCATAAAATGTTTATGGCAGTAACGTTTAATGTACCGATATTATGGTTCAAAGGCTTAACAGATTTCTCTGTAACTGTTCTTGATGGCATAAAGAATTTTTTCTATTAGTTTTCTACTAGACTATCTTCTTATAGTGAATAAATATTTTATTAAATTATATATTGCCTATTACGGTCCAATAATTTTTGCTATCTTTCTGACAGTAAAATAATTCCTAGCTCATAAAGTTTTTGCTTTGAAATCAATTGAGTTGATTTTAGACCTCTCCTAATTG